ACATTGGTTTATTTGCTGATATACTTCCTCTACTTCTTCGTCTGTGTGATCTGTAGTAGGTAGGTATGTTTGGATAATCAACATATCTCTTGGTTTCATCTTGATCCTTAAGGCAATGACTCTATCCGATATTTGCCAATATCCGTCGATTTTACATGATGTTTTCCTATCAAGGATAAATCCAACTCCTCGTTCATGTTCCTTTCCTCCTGAATATATGAATCTGAATCCTTCTTCTGTTTTTATATCGCCTCTTCCTGTCCATCTAACCTCGGAAATACCAAGAATCGATATTCCCAGAATCTTCATTTCTCTGATGACATTGGCCAATTTTCCAGTTTGATAAAGGGACCTCACATTCCAGCATCCCACTCTTAGACTTTCTTTAAGAGCTGCTTTTCTGATTGTCTTTCCTTTATCGGCACCAGGACTTCCAGACGGCTTTAATCCAGGCACGTCATTTGAAGCACTCATTTCCAGGAAATCCAGACCATGTCCGCAGCACGTTTAAGAAGTACAGAATTTATATTTTACTCAATTATAATTAAGATTTTTAGTGATTGGTAATTATTTTATATCATCATTAGATTTCATATCTGTAATTTGCAAACTCACAGTTTAAACAATTATCAAATTTCCATCTGATGGCAAGAAAGTGACCTTTACTTATACTGTAACACAGGAAATTAACATTAGGCTTTTATTTTATCTGTGTTATGAGCAGTATTATTTTAAAAATAAATATTATAAATTTTTCTTACAGGTGAAACAAATAATGGAAGAAGCTGTCACAAGAAAATTTATTCATGAAGAGAGCAGCAGCATTACATCTTTATGTGGTAATATTTCATTAGTTGATTGATATTTTTTTTAATCTGATATTCAAAAGTATAAATCATGTTTATATTATTATATACTAGTAGTCCGGGATGCCTCCTAGTGAGCATTCTAGCAGCAGTGGTGTCATTCCATGGTATAAATAATAAAATTCATATAAATAATAAATTCCTATTACAAATAAAAATAATAATATATACTGTTATAAATAAATTATACTATTAATTTAAATGTGAGATCATGGTTGAAGGTATTGTACCTTCTAATCATCGGGACGTTGAGACCCGCTCACTCTCATCTAAGGATGGCCAAAAATAGATATGTTGCCCAAATCTTTTAACTTGTTCAACCGTCAGGACTGACACCAGATATGGATGAGGTTTGTGCCTTTATGATATCGGTTTAAATAGGAGGGCTGATACATTGATGACTGGGGAGGAATCGCAGGTAAGTTTGAATGTAGCAGGGTGAATGTCCGGAGTCAATTAATTGAGAGAGAGTCACCAAACGTAACTAATAAACAGATTTACTAAATAAACTAAATCAACAAGATACATGTTCAAAATACAAATATAATTGAATGTAATCGAATCTAACTAGAGTTACACTTCTAAATCGAGAGTACAGTAGACCCCTCCCATAACACGGTAGATATGTTCCATGTTTTATGAAATTCATGTTTTAAGAGTCCTTAAATACATGAGTCAATCACAGCCCAGCACGTATGTAGTTTACAGACTATGGCTGTTTGAAAGATTTTCTTCCATAAAATTAATCAATTCTAGACTAATTTGACTCAACATTTCCAAAACATGTATAATATTTTGGGAATAATCCATATAAACTATGCTATAAACTAAAAATTGTAGGATTACTTACCGAGTGTGCATCGTTTGATGATGCCATTGCTTAAGCTTGTTTTTGTTGTGGAGCGGTGCATTGAATGGCAGGCGTGTGTTTCCTGATAAATTATTTTTCTGAGAAAAATTTGCTGAATTTTGGAGACATCATTAATATAAATATAATTTTTATGGCCGTTAAATAATAAATGGTTTTTAGTAGGTCCGCTGCTCATTTAAACTCAACGGTTTGTGAAATATCCGCTATTGGTCTAGATTCAACCAATCCTGTCGTGACACAAGTCAACGATGATGTTTTACCATATCATACGAATCTCTTTTAGCGTGTTTATACGAATACAATTGAATTTTTTTGCCATTATATATGAATCCATATTATATGAACCCGTTTTTATAGGGAGTGTACTGTATACTATTAAACCGAGAGAGAGAGCTTACAATTGACTTACTTAAACCAAATAACCAGATAAGAAGAGTGTTTATGTTCTGTTATTGCAAATGTTTTCAATGCCTCTTCTGTGCTCTTCCTCAGTCTTCTATGTATATTCATTCCAAACTGGCCATTAAATTTCGAACTTAATTCGAAAGGTATTCGATTCCGGACTCGAAAGTAAGTTGATTTTATATTCAACCTGGTGTGTGAGGAAATTAAGAGAGCTTACATCAATTTAAACTTACTACCTTGACTGATGGTCTAGAAGGTAGTCTTCTTCTTCTATATGATGAAGTTCCTTGGTGAAGCTCTTAGATGGCAGAGGGATGAGGGAATCACAAGTGAGAATCTGTGAGAGAATGCTATTCTTATGGCAGGTCCTTGGGGTTCATTGACTGGTATCCTATGGCTATGTTCTTATACAATGAATTGCTGTCTTCTATGTGGCATATTCAGACTAATGTTGACTGCATCTCCTATGGCAATGTCATATTTCTGTTGACTGCCTCAAATAGCAGGAAAATCACTCTTTTTATTGTCCTTTCTGTCCAATAGCATAAAAGAATCTGCAGTTACTAATGGGATGTATGGGGATGAGGAGAGGGGATGGACTGCCAGATGGATGTCAAATTTGTAGATAAGGTCTTGTGGGAAAGGAATTTGATTTCTGACACTTTTGTAAAAAGAGTCGAATGTACCTTCCTTTTTGGTAAACAAATTTGAGAAACTAAATATATTTCCCGTTTCTCACATAAATAATAGCTGGAAATCATTGCTAGGGATGCCCCGTAGTGCACATTCTAGGCATTCTGTGATAGATGACAGATATACAAACACTGGGATCAATGGCTTATATAAGTAGATTTTAAAAAAAATGTGACATAAGTAGATTTTTATTGAACATAGGTTACAGCATGATTTTTAATAGTCATTTATATCTAAAAGCCAACTTATTTTTGGATCAGAATCAAATTAACTTTAATTAATTAAATTATGAAATTAAGCCTAAAGAAGACAATTAAGCTGTCATTTGGGGTAGGATTAATAATCTTACACAAAGGATGACAGTAAAAAGATTAGTTTTGGGAATAGCTCAAATAAAAGAAATATGAACAAGGCTTTATTCTTTCACAAAAAATATAATTTCAAATCAATAAGAGCACAAAAATATAAAAACACAGGGTTTGGAATTTTTTTTCTTTAGCTGTACTCTGATTATGTTATCAAATCATTTTTATAAAGAGTTTTCTTTCCTTGCAGCATAAGGTGGCGATTTTCTACTCTAATGTCATTTTTGCTGATTTGACATTATCAAAAATGATGGAGGTTCTACACAATGGCCACAAGAGCACATGTTTTTCAGTTATGTATGACATAATGACATGGTTTGCAATTTGCTAATTGAATGCTGTCTCTGTAAGAGTTCAGGGCATTATGATCTTCAACAATTTTAACATACTTTTACAGGTTTATTTCATGCCTGAAAAATACAGAAAAATCATTTCTAGTCTTTTTGAGAAACACCTTGGCCCTCTTTCCCATCATTTATTTCCAGTTGAACTCATTTCATATTAGTCTGTTGTTACAAAGTTTGAAGGGCTTTTGAAAGGACATTGTTCTGTAAACAAAATAATATGTGATGATGAAATTTGGCCTTTGTATAAAAAGTAAGTTACAGAATTTTTCAGAATTGTCAAATTTTTGGAATGATGATTACATGAAAAATAAGCAGAAAATTGTCATTTTATTCATCTTAAACCTGTAAAAGAATAAAACTGCATGTGATTGCCAGTTAATATAGATTTACTGGTACTTTTGAACAGGAACTGCCTGAAATATTATATTATTGAACAATAGTATATTAAAGATAAATTAAACAATCCCATTTAAGAAGTCTGTGATTTCAAAAATAAATGCAACATTGTCTACATTTTTTTTTTATGAATTTCAATATAAAAATCAATATACAATTCAATATCTGTTTGGTTTAAGTTATTCATTAAATAATTCAAGCAGAAATTACATGAAATAGATGAGTTTGTTGTAATATCTGACTTCTTATTAATATATTCTAAACTTTTTATAAATACAAACTCAAAAAAAATTTTAAAAGATAATAGTAAATAAATATTAGTAAGGCTTTTGTTTGACTTTATTCTTAGTTGTAAAAAGGAAAGTTCTATTTTCTATTTTGATTTTCTGAAAATAAATAAAATGGAAATAAAAGAAGCAAAAATTTTTCAATTGAAAAATTTTGTAAATATTTTAAAACATTCAGCTGTATTTTTGGAGTTACAGCTATGATTGCTTTCTATAAAGAAAGCAATCACTCTATGTTGTAAAAATAAAAACATTTTGGTTTTCCTTGAAACTAATAAACTAAGTAGTGTCTGTCTTATATTTTTGTAAGAACTTATCTCATTATAAATTATATATCATGAAGTAAGAACAAGTCATTGACATTATAAATACATTTTTAGATTATTAATTTCATATATATATATATATAATTAAATTTACATTTAATTTAATCTTTAATTATAGAAATGTAAATTTTTTTATTAATTATTTTAAAAAAATTCTCTCATTTTATGTAGTTAAAAGTATATCAGATTTCAATAAATATTGTATAATATTTTTAGCTGCTGTTGATGCTTGTCTTTCTCACAATTTAAAAAGAAGAGCACTCGGTCTGTTTAAGACAAATTCTACGACTGCTCTGTTACAGAAAGTTGCCAAGTGCTTTGAACCGGCTGCTGAAATAGCACAAATGGTTGCAGAGATTGAAAACACTGATCCAAACAAGTTTGTATATTTATTTTTCTAAAGATTTATTGGAGTAATTTAAATTTAGAATATTTGTAGTAACCAAATAAACAGTTTTTTTATCTTTCAAAAAATCTATCATGACCTGTAAATATCTTGAAATGCTTTATTGTTTGAGCTTGTTGTTAAAAGAACATAAATTTTGGCACTATCATAGTTTCTGTGTAAATAATTAGTAGGATGAGTGCAGGAATGCAGAACATCATTTTAAATTGTAGGTTGGGAAATTTATATGTTAAATGAGGAGAGAATAGCAAAATATTTTCTGAGAAAGCAGAAAGTGGTTTGAAGTTCTAAGAGCATTAATATTTGTATTTAATTCTTAATTTGATGATAAATTGTTAGAGGACTGACAATGAATGTTGTCTTTTTTAGTCATTTTTATTTATGCTTTGAACAAAGTGTATGGTTGTCTATTTTTGTATTAGATAATGTGAAAATGTCTAATCAATAGTATTGTGTATATGTTTGAATTACTTGGATTATTGCTGTGATTCATATGTATATACTGTTATCTAAGGAGCTAATGAAGCATTGGCATTATTGGTAAAGATTTGTTGTTAGAATTGTTTAATGTTATAATTTGTCTAGATTTTTATTTATTTTTTGAAACTTTTAATTTTTATTCCATATTTAAGTAAAGAAGTCTAGAATAAAAAGACAAAAATAATTATTTTTCCTTGTTTTTAATTCTCTATGGAAAAAATATCTAAATACAGTAGAGCACGTTTATCCGAATCAATTGGGGACTGGGGTTATTCGGATAACTCATTTTTCAGATAACCGATTATGTACGAAAAAATATATTAACCTATCCCATATTGAAATTTTTCTCCATTGCATGTCGCTTCGCATTGAATTTTCATCGATGTAAAAGCCTAACGTAAACTTTTTAAAATAATAATCGTGGCTATTGTATCATTAAAAATTATTTTTATTTTTTACAAACAAAATAAATATATTGAAAAATATAAAAACAAAAAAAATATACTTTAAAAGTTAATCTAGTATCAAAAACATTCGATTCAGCGTGATATTGGAGTAGCCCAAGATATAGCCAAAGATTGCAGTGCCACAGCACTAGCGAAAATTAAAATTTGCCAACTGGAATTCTTTCGGATAAATGACACTCTACTGTATTTAGAAGTTTTTTATGAATTGTGATATTTTGCTTTATTTTCTCCATCATACAATTTAATAATAATAATTTAGATTGTTTTAAAGGTCAGATATGCTGTGTATTTTTAATTTATTATTAGAATTGCATCTACCAAAATATTTATTTAATATTTTGGTAGATGCAATGGGAAGCTTGTTAGTAATGATGTAAATAAAAGTTATTTTCTCTCTGCAGATTATTTTCTTTTTTATACCTTTTTAAACTCTGTTTTTGAAAATTTTATAGTCATTATTGGCTTGTTTTTTAAAAATTGAAGTTTTATATTATCCAAAAGTCAGAAAGGAAAGAAAAATATAATTTTTTCGTAATTTTACATTTTATGTAAGAAAACAAAAGAGGATATTTATTTAAATTACAATGTTATAAAATATATTTGTAACTTTTAATTACATATGATTATTTACCTTTCTTATATAATTTAAGGAGGTCTTCATCCAGTAGTGACAGCACCAACAAATTAAAGCCAATACAGAGCAAAAAGTTGCAAGTTCAATATGGTACTCGATATCTTTGGATTAGATTGGCATTATTTGAAAAGAAGTTATCCAAAATTGTTGATCATCTAGTTCAGAATAGCAGGTATATTACTAATTGCAAAAGTATTGCTTTATAGCATTGATGAAAACCAAGATTTTAATTTATATTTAAATATCTTGTTTATAATTCTTAATTATTGTAGTAAATATTATGAAAAGGATGCTTTGGTGGCAGATCCAGTATCTGGCCAAATTCTTGCTAGTTTATTAGGTAAGCTTTTAAGATAATAATCAAGTTTTCTTATATCTAAAGTAGAGTTTAAAGGCCAATACACTCAGGTGACAAAATTAAAAGATAGTTAGCATCAATAGGTGTTCTATTAATCATTCCTATTGATCTTGACAATCATTATAAAAGATGAGTGGCAGTGACAAACTTAACCAATCATAATTTTGCCAGTCATGTGCATCATACATCAGAATATAGTTTTCAGTTTTCACTTAGATTATTAGAAATAATTGTTTTTTCATTGTGTAAATTAATTTTAGTTGAAAAAAGTATTATTATTATGTATTAACAATATAAAATTTATATAAAAATATATAACTAAAATTAGGGGGAGTTAGTTAAGTAGAATGTGAAAGTTAGTAGAGATAATGAGAAGTTAAATTGTTATATTAACTTAGAGAAAATGAAAATAAAATGTTAATTTAACTACCTTAAGTGAAAATTGATGATTCAGCTATGAATAATTTTTAGAAACAGAATGTTTTATAAGACTAATTTATACATTGTAACATGTTCTTAAAAGTACATCCATCAAAATTGGCAATTTTTTTAGTTATAAACACGTTATAATGCCAGTTTATCATTTTATTTCCACCAGGATATAATAGAAATAAAATTTCAATAAAATATATTTTGTATAAGTTTTATATTGAAATTAATGTCCATTTTAACTAGTTGGACCATGTGCTTTGGATTATTCAAAAATGAAAACTCAAGATCATTACTGGACAGATCCACCAGCTGATGAATTAGTTCAACGACATCGTCTTTCAAGTGGTATTCCTCTATTGCATAGTCCTGCTACCCCTCCATCAAGCAGAAGACCTGGTTTACAAGTTAGTCTTTTTTTATATAAAATTTATTTTAATTTTTCCTATAATATATGCATTTTTCATAGATAGTTTTAATGTGAGAAGTTTTTTCATAAAATTATACTAAGTATCTCTTAAGAAATAACTAATTGCAGTTTAATGATTGTTTATAAATTAACAAAATCAGTTATTCAAAATAGTATTAAACATGTATGTATTTTATTCCCTTCATTCTTCAAACTATTGATATAAATGAAACTATAAAAAAAGTAAAAATGAAGGAATCAATAAAGTTGAACAATTACATGTGAAATGCAAAAATAAATATAAGAATCAATGACATTTAAATCATATTGAGTGCATTTCATGGTAGCCTTATAATTCCTTTTATAAGAATTGCAATCAAAAAAATAATGCTGAAAAAATTCCAAAAAATGAATAGCATTTAAAATAATTTCATTTTCATATCTAAATAGAAACATATCTAAGATGAATTTTCAACTAAAACATTTCATAAAGACATTTCTATTCATTAGATAACTCTCACTAGATGGTTTTAGTTTAATATAAATACAAAAATAAACTTTTATCAATTTAAATTGTATTTTACTAAATCTTTTAAATAATAAAGATAATATAAGTAATTTTGAGAGAATATCAAGGAAAATATGTTTAATATTTAGGTAAACTTATACATAACTTATTTACAAAGGATTTAAATATTTTAATATAATTATATAGAATAAATTTTTTTGAAAATAATTGACAACAAATTTTTATTTATTTTATCTATCTTTACAAATTTTTAAATTGTTTATAATTAAAAAATTATTTTTAGTATCGTAAAGATGTTAGAATTTCTGGAAGTAGTGAAGAAGGACACCGTATGATTCCAGTTGTTGCTAGAGATTATGTTGAGTCATTACATCAGAATTCTAAATCTACCTTATTATATGGAAAGAATAATGTCTTAATCCAGCCAGTAAGTTTGAAATTTAAAAATTTAAATAGTTATTAATAAAAATACAGTAATCAAGCATCATTCAGTTAAAATCCTTCTTTAAAAATAGTTATTTAATTATTGAGACATGCTTTAAAGTTCATTTACTTTATTCGTACATTATTTAATTTTTCACAATAATAAAATTAAAAATGGCCAGATACTTTTTTTTTCCTGATTTTGTTGTGTTAACATGCATTGTTATGGAATATTGATCTACATAAAAAGAAAAAAACAAAATATTTAAAACATTAAATATGAAATAATTGTATTTATATTCTCACTTAAGGCAATATATAAAATATAATCCATTTGAAGATTAAAATGATTACAAAAAGAAAGAATTTATTAACAATATTACAAATTGTATAACAATAAAAAAATTAATTTACATTTAAAGATTTTAGGTTTTTTTTCTTATCTTAGTGTTATTATTTTGTTTCATCAGAAATAATAATTATTTATGCATTATATAAACAAATTATAGATCATCTATTTTAAGATCAAATTTAAAAGTTAAGCTAATAATTGATAATTTGTATCATTATATTTTGATGTTTCATTATAGCAGTAAATATCAAGTGGGAAAAAATTAGCTAAAATATTTAGATAGATTAATTATATCCTAAAATTTTTAATGATAAACTATGTTGAAAATTTTTAAAGTTTGCAATAAACTGATATACAGTTGACCCCCCCTATAACGTGCGTTCCTATAACGTCAATTCCTATAACGTAGCGAAAAAATTGTAGCAACTTTCGTATAAAGTACCTCCTATAACGTCGTTTCGCGACAAGATTGATAGA